AAAACCAGAAATGTATTCAAAATCTTATTGTTGTTATGTTTTCATAAGAGAAGCAAAGGATTTAAGAAATACAAAAATATAAATATTTTTCTTATTTAAATATATAACTTATTTCTAAATATAAAACCTTTTTTTTATCACTCTTTAGATCAGTTATAAGCAAACCTAAGGATTAACTTTATATTAATAAAAACTCTTTCATAATATTGAAAATCATCTGAACTGAAAAAGGGGTTCATTTGAAATACAAATATATTTTAATAAACATTAAATCTAGTTTGAAATCATATTTTAATAATAAATGCAATATTATTAGGACTTTATTTTTGCATTTTGACCGCATTTTGCAAATTACGGGATGACATCAGAAAAAATAAATTTATTTCTACTTTTTGTGTTGCAATTTGTTGTATAATTAAATATTTTTATCAAAATATTTACATTTATATTATTATTTTTTGCTGTATTTTGTGTTGAATACCAGTAATTAAGTGAAATGGTTATAAGTCTTAGCAATACTTTGTTGCATAATATAAACATCACAAAATGTTATTTAAATCCGGAAAACACAATTCATTGTTTTATAGCATAACATAATTGTTATTATTATTAATTATAATATTTAATAAAATCTATATATAGAGTGTTTACCTGAACACAATTTTATGGCCAATATTTGCAATAAAAAAAGTTAATTCCCGGTAAAAACTTTGTCTCATAGCCTGTAATTAGATAATAATGTTTTTGTGTTTTTTACAAACAATTACTGCTAAATATTATTACATAGTAACTTTTTTATGAATATTTTAATTAAGTAATTATTAAAACACAATTACAAACGGGTAGTCATTTGGATACCGGGTATTAATATTAGTTTTTAATTGTTATTATAAGTAATTTTTACATTTATCCTTTATGTTAATTATTTGGTATCATTCAAATTGTATGACTTTAAGTAATACATTATGTTGTGGTTTAACCCAATCCCTATGTGAGTGCCTCCAGATCGTGGTGTTTGGGCCCAACCATAGGGTTTGAAACGATTTAATTATAGTAATTAATTATACGACCAAAAGTAATATCATTTAATAAAGTGTCTGTGTTTTAGAGCTATATCTCAATAATTTATTTAAATCTATGGATAATATAAAATAGATTTATAAAATACTGACAAAAATAAATTGTTAAAGTAAAAAATAAAACTTTTTATTTTACTAATGATTCATGTTGTAATGTAAATAGTTTTACGATTCAATAAATTTCACTATAAATGAAAAACATTACGGTAATAAAAATAAAATAAAAATATTGACAAATTGATGGTATATTTAAACAAACTTTCCAAATATATAAAACTCATTGTTTATTTAATGAATGAATTTAATATAAATGGAGTTTTTGTAAAATATTTAAAGTTTCCAATTTTAATCAATAATTTAATCTTGGTCGAAATTGCATATTAGTTATTCTTGGTGACCAAATGATTGTACAAATACCTATAAAGTAATGGCAACTGACTTTCTGGCACTTCATTAATAGATTTATTATAACTGTAAGAGTTATAAAAAGTTTAAAACTTCTGTCAGTTCTTTTAAAAATAGATTCAGTATTTGATATAATTTTTTATTATTTACAAAATAATAGCAAATGTGAATTCATTTATGACATACATATTTGCGATTGTCTTCAATATAGTTATCAATAAATCAGTAACTATTGAATAAAACGTCCAGACATTCATTTATCGCATATTTACATAATAAGCAAATGAATTATTTATTTAATTAATGAATTGATGCAAAAAACTTTGTCTATTCATTCGCGAAGGTCTCCACAAAAGACTATAAAAAATATTTTTATAATAAACAACAATTCACTAGAATTAATGTTTAATTACATCTCCAGTGTTGACACAAAAATCTATAAAATCCATAAAATATATGAAGTGATCTCATTATTAATAATATTTTCATATATTTCAGACCAAACATTATTATTATTTCGTATATATTGTCGTTAATGCCATCAAAAATCTTCACTCCAATGGATGTATATTTCCGTCAATTAGTTTGCGAATGGATTGCAATTATGTGTGAATAAGATATATGTGATAGAAATGTTAGATAATCATTGGTTATTGTTATATAATGTAATTATTGTATAAACTCATCAAAACGTCACTTATATTTCGCGATATTCCCCACCGTTTAAAACCAGTGCTAATAAAAAGCGATACAAAACGAGTGAAAACTTATTATTTTGTTGTTTTGTGTGTTTGTCTGTCAAAACTATTTTTCGCAGACATTTAAAACATTGGCTGCGATTCTTGTGAATAACACAACTATAATAAAGTTATGACTGTTAATAAATGTCCGATAAATATATCACTTGCGCTCGTAATCGACAAGACATAAGCGAGTCATGAATCTATCATCACTTGTCGTAAAGAGTGGTGACAATACATCCATAATTACATTGGGCACACAACCGGCACAGACCACGTTCAGCTTTGTACAGGACATTGTCATTCTCATACTGTATGGCTTTGTAACCGTATTGGGTTTGTTTGGCAACTCTATTGTGTGCTATGTTGTGCTCAGGAAGAAGATCGTGACCACCACTTATGTACTGATTGGCAATTTGGCCGTCAGTGACATCTTGGGCTCCATCTCTATTCCCGGTTTGTATTTGTTTGTGTTATTTAACAGAATATTCTGTTATTCTGTTATTTTAAGCCCAATTCTCACCGTCAGGTCAGTGGCTGTTCTGTTCATATCATATGCTCGAAGAGTACGGCGACCGGATGTGTGGCCTCACAAAGACATCCCAAATGCTATCGTATTATATCTCGACGTTTACGATGACTGTCATCGCTTTCGACAGATTTCGTATCGTTTACTATCCAATGGCTGAACGCATGAAGCCGTGGATTCCCATCGTTTGCATTTGGCTTTTGGCCACAATCTGTGTCTTACCAACAATGGTGTCGATGAGAATAATGACATACTTCTCACCCAATCATCTCATTCATTGTCGGATAGCGTTTCCGTCGACTTACTTCTCGAAGGGTCCGTTCAGGAAGTTTAGGGCCGCTTTCGTGATGATCACCCAATACGCCATCCCTCTCATCATTGCTATTATTTTATATGCATTTTGTATAATAAAAATCATTTCACGCAAAAGACTCGGTAATGTATTCTTTGGTCATTTTTTTCTATAAAATGTATTTTTCTTATTTCTGAATAAACTTTAAAATTGCGAAAATTGTACAATAAGTACAGTATTTTGTGAACTATTTGTTAGACAGTTGTACTCATACAACAATTTTCTCTCAATGATAAAAGAAAGTTTCAAACAATAGTTAATAATAATAACAATAATACTATAATAACAATAATCAAATATAATTTACAATATATAACCAAAAGAAATCCTTGAACGCAAAAAGAGATGCATTTAATATATCGATTGTTAAAAATTTATTTGACAATGAATTCATTAATTTTAATTATATTACAATTAAAGCAATTACTTCTTTAAAATTACAATTAAAATCTAATCATTGATTGATTTATTGCTTTTATAGGCGCAGTGACTGACCAACAAAGCCGAGAGTTTTGCCGATCTAAACGGCGGACAATTCAAATGCTAACCATCGCTCTGTTGGCGTTTGCCATCGCATGGCTGCCCGTCCATCTGATCCATATGATTGACTTTTACATCACACCATTGCTGCCCAACGACTGTAATTTTTCTCCGTATTACCTCTTCGTCTACTGGTTGGCCGTCAGTTCCGTCTGTTTTAATCCATTCATATACTGCTATCTCAACAACGACTTCAGATCTGCGGCCAAATCTGTGCTAATGTGTCGCTTTGGTCGCCGAGAGGTCGCCGGCAGTCGAGTGCTTCTCCAGTCAAAGAGTTCCCGACAGAACTCAAACACCAGTTCCTCTATATTTTATGTGAACGTTAATGAATGGATGGTATGAGTGCTAGAAATGCCGTTCATCTCATTTAATGAATTGGTTTTTAAATCATTTGAAGACTAGAAATTGATAAATATTTTAATATAAAATAAAGTTTTACTTTTATTCTTATATTTAGTAATAAAGTTATTGCTTGTAATAACTATAAGTCATTAGAATTATTCACTATAGAATAATGTGATAATGTAATGTACATTTAAACTATTATAAGATTACCATGATTATGTATTATTTAGATAAGAGCGGTATTTGAATGTAAATGTATCATAATTTATATGTCAATAAACTACAATTTGGATCTTATTATAAATTAGTAGTCTATGTATTTTAATTTTAAGTAATTCATAACAGTAAACAACATATTAAAAAACATGTATAAAGTTGCTATACAAGTTGACCTCAAGTAATAACATTAGAACACCAGGGTCAATCTATAATACGGATGTTAACATAGCTTATTCGCACAAAACATTGAATATTTTTATTAATTCTGGCCTCTATTCAGACGTCTGTCCCTCTATTGAAAACATTTGATTGAAATAATATTCTGTTAGTTGTAATACGAGACGACTGTATATTTACCATAATATAAATTCCTATTGAAAATCCTGCTTTAATTTGCGCACAATTAACAAACATCTCATTATTCTGTGCAGTAATTACTTTTATAGTGAAATATTAGTTATAAAATAATGCAAACACAGAAAAAAGTTTACATTAACGACAAATAACACACACATTGTCTGTATGTCTGTATATGTCTACGTTAGGGAACGGGAGGAAACTCAATGCAATGGTATGTTTGATGTGAAATATATTTATAACTAGTTTTTTAAAACCCAAACTGACGTAATGTTGGCTGACATTACTTTTTTGACTCTCTGTAAAACATACAGTAATAGACAATCGACTGAATGTGTGAATAGGTCTGACAAAAACCTAAACACGAAAAATATGTTTTCCATTGAAATATACTTCAAATAGACGTTTATGTATTAATATTGAGTTTCAACACATCGTTCCGTATCTATGAATGAATGCTAAGTCATGTCATAAATCATATTCCNATCGACTGAATGTGTGAATAGGTCTGACAAAAACCTAAACACGAAAAATATGTTTTCCATTGAAATATACTTCAAATAGACGTTTATGTATTAATATTGAGTTTCAACACATCGTTCCGTATCTATGAATGAATGCTAAGTCATGTCATAAATCATATTCCCTACGAGAATGACATCAAATAATACATACACAGAGACAGTGTCTCAACACAACTTCATTTCACGTTAACATCCATTGTATAATAATTAGTGAGAAGTTTTGTGTTTTGGTGTGAATATTGTGTTTTTCTTCGGCGAGAAAACTATGAACAATAAGAAATGGTTACTAAACAAAAGTCTCTGTATTTTGACTACAAAAACCTGCACTTAAGCCGATCTAAACTGAAACAATCGTCGCAAGTGTCGGCCCTATTATCCGGATTCGCATTAGTAAGTGATCGCAAAACTTTTGGCAAAAGTTTTGCAACAAAAAAATAATTAACCTTAAAACTAAACCATGCGCTCAAACAACTTATTAAACAGGTAGCGATGGTGGAGATGGACGTAGAAACAGAAGGTGAAAACAAGATACCATTCTCACTACTACTTCTCTTCATAATAGTGACCACTTTGTTAGTGTCGGTGCATATGTTGGCGCTAATGATCTCGACCTGTATATTGCCGCACATCGACGCCGTGTCGGCCATACATAACGGACAGTCGTCTCTCCATAACGACTCCCCACACCATAAGATGAGACACTTTACGTCCATCGCGTGGTTCTTCTCGACAGTGATCGGGATCTTCCTCTTCCTACTCGAGCTCACGATTATTGTTTGGGTTAAGTTCTGGTTTATATACGGCGGTTGGGTTGCCATCATCTCAACCATTGTGTTGATGCCAGTGATCGGCGCCTTCATCTACTTTGCCTACCATTTCTACCACCAATTGGTCGCATATAAGGTGGAGAGGACTGAGTTTGTGTTACAAGAGCTGGAAGAGTTGGCTCAACACTTACAAGACTCTCAAATCAAGTCAACCATTGATTTTGTTTGATTTCAATAATCATTTCATTCATTTTTGTGTTTCCATTCTTCGAGTGTATGTTATTTACGATTAAGTATTATTTAACTACTGATAACTAACTGTGTATTAATTGTTTCCTACATTAGTTAATTGCCATTATATGACAGTATTTATTGTTTTATTATCACCTAATGATAACGTTTGATATAAAAGTGTTTTTATGACATTTACTGTGTTTTTCTCGACTTCTTTTAATTTGTTTTTTATGTCAAATGTTTTATATTTTGATGAATTAGTAAATGAAGGAAATATACAGTAAATGTAAATTAATTAAATTAATATTTATTTATTTTGAATTCAATGTTAGACTTTAGGAAAGTTTTTATTCTTTATCATCACTTTAAATATATTAAGAAGTTTATACATAAAATACTACAAAAATGTAAATATTTTAAGCAAAGGTACAAAAATTATTTAAATAGTGTTTTTAAAATAAATTATTAACTTTCGTTAGAAATTAAATTATTTAAATAGATTTTAATTCATAGCATTGAGTATACAATGAGTACACTATTTCTGTTTTTATTACAGTAAACAGTTTGACATTCAGTGTACAAGTATACTGTACACTACATTACACATGTACAGTGTAAGTCAAAACAGTAATAAAAAATTCCCATTTAAACTCAACAAGCGCATTTTAAATATACTGTAACTGTAAATAAAATGTTGAATATTATGTACACTTATTAGATTTTAAGTTAAATTTTTAAACCATTTGTTTCTGAATTTATTGTAAATGTTTTTTATTTTTAAAACAAATGATTAATAAATTGTTAATAAATAAAACATTTTAAACTGTATAATACTGTTAAAGGAGTTCTCATACCGTATTAAACCCATTAGTCTGACAACATGGGTATTTTTCCCACCAAACCATCGATGACAATATAAAAGTAAATCCATGTAAATTATTTGAGTTATGATATTCTCGAAATAGTTTCAAATAATCTGATAAAACTTGTCATAATAATTGTCAATAAAATTCATTTAAAAATATTTAATATCTTAATTAAATTGTTTTAATACAAGTAAAAACTTACACAAATTGATTAATAATAATTTATTATATACAAAATTATCTAGATTTATGCCTAATCCTTAAATCAATTAATTAGTCAAATCAATAATCTGGTGCATCGATGGGTGGCGTCGGCGGCATCGGTGGTATTGATTGCAAACTGTGGACCAGATGTCTGTGATTGACATCGAAGTTGGGTTGACTCGGAGGCACTTCAAACCTCAACGACATGGGCCTCGAAAGGGAACCAGTGGTCGAGCCATTCAGTTCAGTACTGGATTGACTCAAACGCCAGTTCTCTTCGTTGACCAGAGTATCCCTTCGCCGTCGGATGGCCTCAAAAGTGGACTGTCTTTTTAGTATTGACTTTCGCGGTCCGATTGAACCTATTATTGTCGGTCACAACAAAATTATCAATTCATTTACTCTACTTATAGTTGCAATGAATGGCCAAAATTAAACACTCAATACATACCCATAGTGTCGGGCGTTATACTCATGAGTCTCTTGCGGAAGACATTGTCCAGATTAAGCGGTTCCGAGTCCTGAAGTCGTACGGAATCTCTCCTCCAAATAGACTGTCGATTGTTTGGCAAATTATTAGTCGACAAAACCACAGTCTTGTCGTCAATTTCGTCGATTCCTTTTAATTTCTGTAACCGTTTAGCAATTTTGACGGCATTTAGCTTAATGTCCATCTCATCGTCGTTTTGGGACTCTTTCGGCGCGAAGAAGTCGATTGTCGTGAAGGCCAGCAAATGGGATAGAGTGCCGAACCGATGCATAAACATACCGATCAGTTGTATCACTAGAATGGTGCCGAAGAACACCACAAGCAAGAGACCGATCGGATCCACTTTAATGTAGCGATAAATGGGTGTCATTTCCCATCGCTCTTCTTCGTCGATATATCGGGTTTGGTTCCAACGCTCGACTCCGAGGTTAATGTCAAAGTTGAAGACATCGCCGTGCATTTGCAGCAGCAGAACAAACAATATGAATATTACGTTTATGATGGAGAAGGCGAACACCATTTTATTCCTCAAGTCTATCAGATCGGCCGCAATCCTCTTCTGTTCCTTCGGGTTCTCATCCAATGGCAGCAGATATTTGGGTATAAAGTCCTGCCAGAACTGCAACTCAAGGTCTGTGAGCGAAACAAATGGGAACTTCTTGAACAGCTTATCGCGACCCCAACGCGGCTTCGAAGCCGTGGTCACCGACTCGACCGCCGACACCGACCGGAGACGCGTCTCGTCGCCAAAGACATCGTCCGCTTCGCTGATCTTATCGACGGTGTCTTCTTCTTCGTCAACCGCCGCAAGACTTCCAGAATTACTTCTCGTGCGTCTCACAGCCTGTTTCTGAAACTGTACGGTTCCTCTTCGGGCGCCGCTATTGTCCGCACTTTCCATAGTGTTCTTCATAGCAGTCATACACTCGACAACTAAACCCATTTGGTCTTTCATGTCAGTCCATCGGGCGGTGTCTTCGTCTGACTTATTGTTTGAACAACACGTACACGTGAAGAGACCCGCTTTACTGCCGAGTTTAGAGAAGTCTAACTTTCCAAACAAATTCTTCTTCTTCAGCTTCTCGGCCTCCTCTTCAGCCGCCGCCTCCGCAGCCATCGCCGCCTCTTTGGCCGTCAGTTTGGACTTGACTTCTCGCGTACCCCACGAAACGATATGCATATTTGTCACCGAATATATGGTTAACAATAAATACATACTCGGAATGAGTAACATATAGAGAGGAAGCGGGAAAACACACGCAAATTCTTGCGGGTGAAGACACGCGGCGACAATGAAACTACCCATTAGTGACACAAAGAATATAGAGTTTGGTGTAAGAATGCCCTTGTTAAATATGTCTATGCCTGTGCCCACCAACACTGCCAACATTAACAACGCGTATAGTGTACTCAAAACCATGGCCAGGAATATAATGTGATCGTTTTTCTTGACAGTCATACACACTATGGAAAAGGCGAGGACTGGCACTATATTACAGCCGAGAGCCGCCCAACTGTTGAGTCCCAACACTGTATTCATGGCTCCGACAATCATCAAGAATATAGTGGCCGGACTGAGTAGAGTGCCCACCATTAACATGCCCTGGTATAGGATATAAGGCTTTGATATATCTGTATTAACGGCAACCGTACGCTTATAATCGCCCAACAAATCCATGATATTAGCCATCGTGGAGGGCGCCCACCGACGCCTCTGTGTGTAAAACTCGCCAAACCCTTCGGGCGCGTGAGTGTAGGAATCAGATGCGGCACAGTATTCAATACGCCTGACAATTGTACATAGTAAACATTATTATTTGAATATGATCATATTTTTATTAATACATACCATCCCTGTTGTAATAGAAGAGTGCAAAGCCATCGGTCCTCTCCCTGATCGTACTGAACGTAATGTAAAGCCTCTGTCGGTGGTGTTGTATACCTATTCATAACACTGGTATCCATTACAGCCCGGGCTCTGAATAATGAGAAACATCCGGGACTACAGAGAACACAACCGAACGCATGTTCCGTCGCCTTTTGTAGCCAATGGCCGATCGCGTACTCAAACTTTTGGTACCAAACCATAGGTCCGCCACCGATGGGATGTATGCGTCCGCACGCGGCGCCCAACTTCTTGTTCTTCTTCATGAGATCGACGACAAGATGTAAGGCATGCGGACGGAAGTTAATGTCTCCGTCCAGAGCCAACACAAACGTATTCATCGCAATCGTTGTATGCGTCCGCACGCGGCGCCCAACTTCTTGTTCTTCTTCATGAGATCGACGACAAGATGTAAGGCATGCGGACGGAAGTTAATGTCTCCGTCCAGAGCCAACACAAACGTATTCATCGCAATCGTCTCTTTTCTCCTTTCATCGATGTCTCTTTCGGCAATTCTGTGTCCCAACAGGTAATACATATACATGCACTATATTATTAAGCACATTTAAATATCTTGATTAGTTTATGAAAAACAGTGTTATATTATTCATCATGTTATACCTGTGACCAACGTTTTCGATGTCTGATTAGGATCTTATCCTTGAGATGAGCGATGAGTTTGTTCTGTCCGGGAAGAGTCCACTCGAGTTTCCCGCCGTAAGGCGTGGGCACAACATTGGGTCGTTTGAGCACAACTAAGGCCTCGTGGACATTACTGGCCGCCTCGTCCATCGTATCGATCAATTGTTTGACAAATCTATTAACGAGCCGATCGTCAACATCATCGCTGGGACCTTGGTCAAACGCGTCGTCGAAAAATATATTAACTAAATAAAGTAAAAGTAAGTGTTATTATGTCATTAAATTACATACAATCTGATTGAAAACTTACATTCAATTTCATAGTAATCAGTAATGGATTGGCTGACGTTGAAGAGCTGATGGGCCTGTCGTCTGGCGCATTGGTCTTCATCCAATCGCATGACAGCTTTGAGCATTTGGACCATCTCGTTTTTGTCCTCGTGCCACATCGTCGCGCACACAAAGATCCGGATCGTCTCGTCGCTGTCGGGCGGCGAGGGCTCGACGTCGGGCACGGGTTCGGTGATTGAGTCGTACAGATCGTTCATGTTTTTGCTTTCAACTAATGGTTTGCTCGCCATTTCCTTTTGAGGCGACTCCTCGTCGACAACAAACTCATCGATGATATCAATTCTTCGCCTATTCATAGCCAACGACTGGTCGACAATCACTGAGCTATACATCGGTATTAGGAAGAGCTTCTCCGTTGAGGCCAACCGTTCGCTCGTCGAGAACCAGATGTGGACAGAGATCCATATCTGTGAGGCCAACGACAGGACCCACATAACTGTACTCATGTAGTTGTATAGATCCTTATCGTAGGCAAATATATCCACTTCTTTCGTATACCAGAATATATACTGAAAGCCATTGAAAAAGCCGTTACTGACGGCACACTTGTCCTGAGCTGCGGCACTGATGACAGCCCACAGGAATGACACGGTCATTGGGACGGATAGGTTGACGGGAACGGCGAAACTGAAGCCCTGAATACATATCTTACAGGAAAACTTGCCGAAAGCGTAACAGATATATGAGAACGAGATTTGCATCAACAGAATCCAAACGGCAACGTATGGGTCGGAGACAGACATTGTGTGCACCAATTGGTCGGCAGACTCTTCAATGTGTTGTTGACTTAAGTCTCGGTGCACTTTGATCTCAGTGTTGGTAAAGCCGTCGCCGAACTTCGCGAAGAGACTGTGAACGGCATCGCTATCATTGTTGATGTACTCAAACAATACCATAAACCCAAGAATGACTACCATTTTCCATACGGTCACAAATAAGTACGTGAAATATCTGGTCTTAGCTAGATCCTTTTTAGCTTTTAGTAACCATTTGTTAATAATATTCTCCGATTTTGGATCAATGAAGTTCTCCCACCACTGGAACGATACGAAGATCATTGCGATCGGTATGTAATAGTATTGTTTACTGTTGTCGTTGTGGACAACGAGTGGCCACAACACAAAACCCAATAACTGGAAGACAGTTGCCGTATATGTCAACAGAAGGTTCACATTTGAATTCTTGTCTGTATTGGAGAGTATAAGCAATATTCCGGGTATAAAACACAAGCCGTTTGTAATCATTGCTCCTTTGATTACGTCGATAGTTGGGAGGATAGAGAAGACCAGTAATGAGATTCCGATTGCGTTTAACGTTTCGGTTGTAAAGACCTGTCGTATAATAAAATCATTATTTATTAATACTAATGAGTAGATAGAGTACTACTGACCGTAAGAAATGTCTGAAGAGTTGGCACTTGATATGTCTTAAAGTAGCAAATTCTGGCACTTCTTCCCCACGCAAACACTTCCGGTGTAATTGTGGCAAAGAATAGGACCCAAAGCCATTGCACTCTTTCCGGATCATCGACTTTGTATTTAACTGCATATCTCTTGTCGCTGTCGAGCGGTGGGTCCACTTCGTAGATATCATTGTTACAGAGAGGTATCGTTAGGTCTACTTTTGTCATCGATATCATCAAAAGGATGAGTGATTTGGAGAGCACAGCACATCCCAGAGTGACCACAAATGTGAAGAAATATGCGAATACCTTAAGCCATTTGATGAAGACGTCAACCCACGCGCCATCGAGTGTCTCGTCCTCTTCAAAAGGATGAGTGATTTGGAGAGCACAGCACATCCCAGAGTGACCACAAATGTGAAGAAATATGCGAATACCTTAAGCCATTTGATGAAGACGTCAACCCACGCGCCATCGAGTGTCTCGTCCTCGTCGGGCGGCGGAAGTGATATAAAACGGTCCCATTTTTTCACTTCTTCTTCGCTGTCTTTTCTCTGACTATTGGTTTGTAAATTGTTTTAATTTCTTACAATTTCTAATTTGTAAACTAGAATTAGCTTTTTATATGTTTAGTAAACTATAAGGGGTGAGTGTAAATAGCAAGAAAATGTCAGTGAAAATTCAAATTCAATTTTTTATTATGAAGCAAAACATTATTTTAAATTATGAAATAGCCATAATTATCGGCTAGTATTGACCATCATTCTAACAAATTTTCATTTAATTCCCGATTGAAATGGCTGTCCTGGAGGT